TGAGGTTCATACACACTGTGTCTAAATATTTACAAGTACAGACCAAGCTAATAATACAAATATGATCAAATATGTCTATTCTTCCTTGGCAGACATACCTACAAGATGAGGAGGAAGGCCAGGTTTTATGGTTTTGTTTTTTTCAAGACAGGGTTTCTCTATGTAGCCTTAGCTGTCCTAGATCTCACTCTGTAGACCAGGCTAGCATTGAACTCAGATATCCGCCAATCTCTGCCTCCCAAGTGCTGGGATTAAAGGCCTGAGCCACCACTGCCTGGCCAGCCTTCCTCATTAGTGAATGCTCACACTCAGCCTCCAAGCTAGGGCCTACCCGCATCACTTTGTAGACCACACTTGGGGCAGGGGAACTCAAATGGTCTCTTCACCCTATGCCTTGGCTCTATCTAGATGGTGAGAAGCCTTTGCAGACTGTGGAGGTAGGCTGGGAGGCATCTGGGCAGGACATTTTATAGGGCAGCTTCCTGGACACAGTGTAGAGGAAGGTGCCTTGGATCTACACAGGAATGAGGTTCCTATGGCCTCATCAACCTTTTACATCCAACAGCTGGAGCAGAATCCTATCGCAATGGTTAATGCTGATTGTCAATTTGATTGGGTTGAGAGACACCAAATGAGCAAAGCATGCTTCTGAATGTCTGTGAGGGCATTTACAGAGACGATTTGACCATGCAGGCTCTGGTCAAATCACTAGTATCCATGTGATGAGTTCCATTTTCTTTTTCTTTTCTTTTTTTTTTAATATGGGGGGGGCGGGGGTATGTGCACATATCAGCCATAAGAGAAATATAATTAATACTACCTTTGAGATTCTGTCTCAAGAAAACAAACAGTGAATGCTGGTGAGGATGTGGGAAAGGGGAAATGCTTATTCACTGTTGCTGGAAATGTAAATTGGTGCAGCTACTATGGAAATCAGCGTAAAGGTTCCTCAAAAAACTAAAAACAGAAACCCCATATGATGCAGTCACTACCTAACCCCTGCTCGTATACCCAACAGACTCAGTCTCTTCTTCACTGGGGTACCGGCACAGCCATGTTCATTACTGCTCTGTTTACAACAGCCAGGAAACAGAATCAGCCGCGATGTCCATCAGCTGATGAACGGATAATGAAAATGTGCTACGTCTACACAGTGGGATTTATTCAGATGTAAAGAGAAATGAAGTTACAAAATATGCAGGAAAATGGCCAGAACTGGAAAAGATCACACCAAGGGAGGCCACTGAGGCCCAGAAAATGCCACACATTCTCTCTCCTGCGGATCCCAGCTCCAAACTCTGAGATCTGTGTGTTTAACCTGGAGCCCCTGTATAAGCCAGGAATCTAGCAAGGCCCCATGGGAAGCGGAAGGGAAGGAGCTTTTAAGGCTAAGAGGACAGTAGATCATGTGATATGAAAGCAAAGGGTGGGAGCCAGGTGTGGTGGCTTAATCCCAGCACTTGGGAGGCAGAGGCAGGCAGACCTCTGTGAATTCAAGGCCAGCCTGGTCTACATAGTGAGTTCCAGGACAGCCAGAGCTATGTAGAGAGACCCTGTCAAAAAAAAAAAAAAAAAAAAAAAAAAAAAGCAAGGAAGAAAAGAAGGAAGTAAAGGATGTGAATAAAAGAGGTCAAAGGACAGGGGAGAGAAGGGGGAGGGGAAGGGGTTTTCCCAACACAAAGGATGTATGCAAACCCGTTATGGAGACCCACTGCTTTATAAGCTAATTCAAATACATACTTTTTTTTTTAAAGAAGGAGTTTGAACACAAGTAACCCATATCCATGCTGCATGGGTGGACAACAATTCCCCTGGAAGTCATGGGTTATTGAACAAAAAAAAATGTAAACAAAACCAAATTCCTTCTACCATAAGTTGCTTTCGGTCATGGTATTTTATTTTAGGAACAGAAAAGTAACTAATACAGTTGGTAAGGCCCTGTTGCTGAAGGCACACCCCATTTGGGTTTCAGGACATAGAGAATAAAGTTGAAACTAATCTCAGAACTTCCTCCCTGCTAGCATAGTGCCAAAAGATGCTGTAGGCTGCTGGGAGAGAAAACTTACCAATGGTAAGGTTCCCAGTGAACCTTAAAAGGGACCATACAAAGATATGTCCATTGGAGAAACAGTGGCGTGACAGCTATGGAGGTAACCAACCACTTTCTGATTGAATCTGAGGACTGTTCCACATGAAAGAATTCAAGTCTGGTATGTAGGCTAGTCCAAAGTCTAGTGAGTAGCCACTCCAGCTTTGATCTGGAAGTTCCAACCTCTTTAAGGTTTCAGTAACTGTCACGCCTACAAGGCGGGGCCAAGAGAGGACCCTGAGACCCAAGATCTGGATGGGCCAGCTCTCTTGGTTCCTGGACCCTGGATGCTGGAGGTAGACCGAACAGAGTTCTCCAGAGAACACCGCCGGACTGCGACACACCTTTAACCTGTCCCTTCACTTGTTTTTTGGTTTTTTGAGACAGGGTTTCTCTGTGTAGCTTTGTGCCTTTCCTGGATCTTGCTCTGTAGACCAGGCTGGCCTCGAACTCACAAAGATCCGCCTGCCTCTGCCTCCCTCTGCTGGGATTAAAGGCGTGCACCACCAACGCCCGGCCATCTATCCCTTCACTTGTAAGTTACCCAACAAAATAAACCTCCCTTTTAACCATGTGGAGTGGCCTTAATAATTTCACCAATACCAAAGCCCATGGCTGGGGAGGTCATCGGCCCTAAGGGGAGCACCTACTACTGCTGTTTTGCTAAATGGACACGTTGTCAAACTGCCTTCTAGATATTTATTATCAGGTGTTAGTGCTGCTCTTCATCTCAGAGAAGTTTCTCTCTGTAGTGGGCAGCAGTTGATGCGGGGGGACACAAACATACGTGACTCTTGAGTGCTCAGCCCTACACGGGACGTCTACACCAACCACCACAAAGCTGAGAGGACATCATGGGAGAGGGGGTGGAGAGAACGTAAGAGCCAGAGGATGCGGAGCAGGGCTGTGACATGCTGTCCTCGGGACATGGCATGGCCGTTGTACTCACGAACTGCAACTATGGTGACCTCCACAAAACAAAGCCAGCGGGACCAGTCAACATTCCAGCAGGCAGCACTAACGGGACTGGGGGGGGGGGGGGTTTACAAAAAGGAGGGAAGGCCATGAAAATGGGAGCCCTCTCGGGTGAGGGAGGGAGAGGTGGAGAGGATCAAGACACATCGCACACGGGTATGAAACTGCCAGAGAACATAGGAATAAGAAAAATCATCACACGCTAAAAGATGGATTCCAAGCATTTGCCAGGACAGATGTAAATTACACACATACGGTTGTCGTGGTAGAAAGGGAGGGTTGTCTATCCACTGCAACACCGTTTAATGGAAGCCACTCAAGGAAGTCAGCAGGGAACGGAGTAAATAAACTATGTCACATCGACATAATGCAAAAAGAATGAGAAAATCCTCTTCACGTTAATATAAAAGATGGATTTCTAAGCTATATGAAATTTAAAAATGGAAGTTATAAACAATGTACTGAGAGAACTGTCTGCAGTGTGGAAACAGAAGGATTCATCTGAAAAGCAAATGGGAACCTGAGGACACAGCCAGTTGGTAAATGTCTGCCACATAATCACGAGGACCCGAATTCAGATCCCCAGCATCCATCTAATCTGGGCATGGAGGCTTGCACCCGTAACCCAACATGGGCTGGTGGGGACGCAGAAATAGGATCCCTGGAGTTCACTGGCCAGCTACCCTAGCTGTATCAGTGAAAGACTTTGCTTCAAAAAATAAAGTGGTGTGGCTACAGAGATTGCTCAGTGGTTAGAAGCCCTTGATCCTCTTCCAGAGGACCCGGGTTCAGTTCCCAGCACCCATATGGCAGCTCACAATCATTTGTAACTCCAGTTCCAGGTGATCTGACGCCCTCTTGTGGCCTTCACAGACACTGCATGCAAGTGGCACACAGACATACATGCAGACACAACACTCATATATATGTATTTTCATAATAATTTTTAAAATAAAAATAGAGCCAGGTATGGCGACACACACCTTTAATCACATCAGAGGCAGACACAGATGGATCTCTGTAAGTTCGAGACCAGTCTGGTCTACAAAGCAAATTCCAGGACAGTCAGGGCTGTTACACAGAGAAACCCTGTCTCAATAAATAAAAACATAAACAGAGTGATTGAGGAAATATTTTTTTAATTTAGAAAAAAATAAAGAGGCTGGGAGGCGGTGGTATCGCACACCTTTAATCCCAGCACTTGGGAGGCAGAGAAACCCTGTCTCAAAAACAAAAAAACAAACAACAGTAAGTATAGCTTATAAACCACATTCCCGAGAAGTGGGATTCCCAGTGTGTATTTCTATTGGTTTTTAGGAAAGTCTCTTTTGGCCATCCCAGTCATCTCTCAACCATGTTATTCATATCAGTGACAGTTTGGTCCATGACAGCTCATAGAGAGTCCAGAGTCCACAGTGTGAGCCTCATCAAAAGGCCACTGCTGCCACTGCCACCACCACCACCATCACCACCAACACCATCATCACCAACAACATTGCCACCACCACCATCATTACCATCACCACCACCAACAACAACACTATTATCACCACCACCACCACTACCACCACCATCACCACCCAGGACACAGTGAGCCTGTGGGAAAGTACAGCTGCAGGGGCCTGCTCTTCTCCTAAACAAGAGAGTCTATTATGCTAAACTTGGAGGATCCTGGGTGTGTTTTCATTGAAGGAAAGGGCTCTGTTCACCGCTGCTCAGCACCAGGAAGCCGGGCAGCTATGATATGTGAGATACTTTATCTAAGCAGCTAGCCAACCCACCCAGGTACAGGGCTGAAAGATACGACCTCTGCACTCCACTCTGTCCCCCCGCAGAGACCAGAGGCACTAACCAGAAAACTGTAGTAAGAAAAGCTCATGGTGTATGTGTGTGTTTGGGGGGGACACAGAGAGAGAAAACAAAATGGGCCACTCACCCCTTGCCCCAGAAAGGCCAGCACGGGAATCACTTTCTCCTGGGCGATGCACTGCAGGATCCGGGGGGCTCCATAGAGTCCCCCCATACAGGAGGCCAGGGATGAGATGTACAAGCCCAACAGGAAGAGGAAGCCGACCAGAGACACCTACATGAGGCAGATGGTCCACCATTACCATGGGCTGCTGATCCTGAATGTCCCCACCCCAGGGCAGCACCGACGAACAGTAATGGGGCTGAAAAGGCAGGGCCTGTGGGGGTGTGCCCTTGAAGGGGATGGCGGGGTCTCAGGCCCTTCTCTTTTACTTTGGAGAAGACGCTTTTGCGGTGCTACACACGAGTGGCCACTGTCATTGTAGGCATTGGCATCCCTACAAGAGGCTCAAAACAATGGGTCATGGAATGAAACTCCAAAACCAAAGCAAAATAAGACTTTTATACATTTTGCTGATTTAGTGTGGAGGTGTGGGGGTGCATCCCATGACGGGCATGTGGAGAACGGAGAACAACTTGTGAAAACTGGTTCTCTTCTTCTCCACGTATAGCAAGAATCTTAAAAGGTCTTAAAATCAAACCTGAGCCAGATAAAAAGGGAGATTATTGAATCCACTTTTAACCATGTGGGTCCCAGGAACAAACTGAAACCACTGGGCTTGACTGCATGCTCTCTTTACCTGCTGAGCCATCTTACCGACCCAAACTTTTCTCTTCATAAATTAATTATCTCAGGCCTTGTACAACAGTGACTGGAATTTAACATAATTATTCAATGACCAACACTGCTTTTAAAAAAAAAATAGTTTACAAATATTTACTCTTTATCTGGGGGGTGCTCTGTACCCCTGTACACCTTGTAGGTTGGAAGAGGACCTGGAGCATCACTCCTCACCGTACACTTTGAGGCAGGGTCTCTCTTGCTTGCCTCTGCACTGCGTATTCTAGGTTAGATGGCCTGCAAACTTCCAGAGGGTTCTCTTTCCTCCACCTCCCATCTTGCTGTAGAAATCCTGGGACTGCAGACATGTGACAATCCATCTGGCTTTTCACGTGGGTCCCAGGGATTCCCAATCAAGTCACCAGGACGGCACAGCCAGAGCCGAGCCTCTGAATGTTTCCAGGGCCTAACCCTGGGGTTGGCTGATTTTGTTGGTTTGTTTTGTCCACTGAGACAGAGTCTTTCTATAAATCCTGGCTGTCCTTAATTCACAATACTCCACCTCCACCTCCCAGGTTCTGGGATTACAGGCGTTCTATGCCAGTCAGACCAAGCCTCGACCTTTCTACCCCCAGTGCACCTTCCCACTCGCCACCTATTTATACACTGCTTCCCCCAGCTCAGCCTCAGGGCTAGGGCCCCCACTCCCCAGCCCACTCCGCTCAGCCCACTACTTCAGGTTAGTTCATGTCTTATACGGACTATATACTAGTTCTCAAATTGGGTAGGATTCATCTCAGTGCCTCTTGAACCATGGGTTTCTGGGCCCTATTTTTAGTATTTCAGATTCAGGAGGTATGCAGGGGTTGCCTAAGAATATGGATTTCCTGAAGGTTCCAAGGTAATGGTGATGCCATGGCTAGAAACCACACTTGGAGGCTGGCTATGGTTCCAGTCAGGCTCGAGAATTTTCTGCCAGAGTGACAAACTGAACCCTGATCCTAAAGGCCCAGCTACAACTCCTATTGGTTGATAAGTGGACCCTGAACAGTGCATGACTCCCCCAGCCCCACACCCTGCACCACACTCACTGTTGGGACCCTTGTTCACCCCCTCATCTGCTCATTGTTCAACACTGAGCATCCAGAATCAGCACAAGAGGCCTGGAGAGAGGGCTCAGTGGTTAAGAGTGCTTACTGCTCTTGCAGAGGACCCGAGTTCAGACCCCAGTACCCCACATCAGGCAGCTTTTAACAGTCTGTAACTCCAGTCCCAGGGGATCTGATGCCCCCTGGCCTCCAGAGGCATCTGCATGCACATAAACTCATTTGGATATACACATATAGTTTTAAAATCTTAAATAAAAAAAAAAGGCTCAGGACAAACCCCATCTCCTCTTTGAGATACCTCACTTCTCCTCATAGCAGAGGTTGCCCCACAGTCTCATGAGGCTTGAGGATAGGATAGACCTCTCACAGTCTCCTCTACCACCCTGCTGTCTTCAATTAAGCAGGCCTCATGATCTTTCACACCAGCATTCTCAGTGCCCAACAGAGGAATATAAATGGTGAATTAATTAATTGATGTAATCCACAACCCACACATCGCACAGGTATCAGGAGACAGGACAAGAAAGAACAAAGCTGTTCCCCTTAGTGCCAACTGGCAAGGGACCGGTGCTGCTGTCCATGCAGCAGTGCCCTGGGTGAGCCACGAACCTACCTCACGAATCCTCCTTTGGACTTCGGGAAGCCTCTCTTTTCTGATAACTGGCAGCCCCCCTCTCCACACTACCTTACTTCAGACCTAGTGACCAGAACCAAGCACTTCAAGTGCTCACTTGCATGACAAGGACAGATGGGTTAGATGTAACTTTCAGCTTGGCCTCTTACAGCCTTCTTGATGAAGATTCTCCGTCTCCCATTGTCCTAGCTAGCTTCAGGTGTCAACTTGAGGCAATCCACGGTTATCCGAGGAAGTCTCAAGTGAGGGACCAGCTAGATCAGTTTGGCCTGGGGCCATGTCTGAGACATTTTCTTAATTGTTCATCGATGTAGGAGGACCAAGTCCACCGTGAGCGGCGCCATCCCTAGGCGGCATAAGAGAGCTACCTGAGGAAGCTAGGAGCAGCAAGCCACCAAGCAGTGTTCCTCCGCTGGTTTCTGTTTCAAGCCTCTGCCTTGGCTTTCCTTGATAAACAGACTGAAACCTGTAGGCAAATAAACCCTTTCCTCCCCAAGCTGCTTGTGGTCAGTGTTCTATCATAGCAATAGAGATGCAAACAGGCCAACTATGTTTTATTTCCTTGCTTCAGCAATGGGCCAAGTCCACGTGGTCAAGTCATACTGAACCCAAAGCCCCGGTTAACCTACTTCCTGTTTCACAAGTTATCACTGAAATCATCTGATTAGCAAATCCTGCATTAATCAGGCTTCTTGACTTGAGGGCACTTACAAACAACAACAGGGCTGGTGTATCCCTAGCAGGTCAAGGCACTGGCTACAAGCCCAGCAACCCGTCTGATCTCACAACCCACAGGTTGTCCTCTGAGCTCTGTGCATGTGACCCTCCCCTAGAAGTAAACTTAAAATGCATGAAGCTATCTGCAGGACACTGGACGTTCACACTCCTCACCAACACAGTTTAGCCAGGGCACTGTCAGCACCCTGTACCCTGCAGACGACCCTCCCCATCTCATTATCAATGCTTCTTCATTCAGCACACTTGAAGTGGTCATCCACCCAACCTCAGTCATGTGACCTATTGGGGCTGCAGAAAGGCATCAAGAAAGGGTCTGGTCCTTTGAGCTTTCGAATATTAAATGGGGGGTCTCATAACCTGCAAAATGGGAGGTCAGGTGGTCAGAGCCTGGGAAGACTCAATGTGGTCCCCTACAGAGCCATCCTGTCCTTAATTCCACGTGGACAGCTTTTCCCCACGGGCATCATATCATCCCAGGTGGAGCTCATCGGCCTCTTGCTTCAGTGCCATCGATTTCTCGGGCTTGTCCCAGCTTCTCTCAACACCTTGTTATTGGAAATCACTGTTATCAATGTTATCACTTTGTGAGCTCTGCTGGCATTTTTTTATTCTCTCCCCTGTGGGAGAGTCAATCAGGCTCGTGGTTTATCTCACCAGTGTGCCCTGCACTCCTCAGGAGGACACTGGAATTGTGACTCAGTCTCCACCCACAGCAGAGGCTGGCAGTAGCGAAGCCTGGGCACTTGGCAGGGTCTGAGCCCTGGATATTGCACACAACTGTTAGGGAAACTGCCTCTGGGGTTATTTCTCCATGAGAGGACCCAGCTGTAATCTTTCTTTGTGTCTTCTCTACCAAATGCATCCAACGCTGATGACTTAAAAATAAATAAAAGACTGATGCAATTTTATCAAAAAGCATTTTGAAATTTTAACGCAGTGTCTCTCTTCTCAGCCTTTACCTAAGAAATCACCCCAGAGAGTCTGACTCAATGAGTGCTCAGCGGGACACGGGCGCTGATTTGTAAAAAGTTTCCCAGGTAATTCTAATGTGCAATCGATGTGAGGAGTGGCTGGGCACAGCATAGTGCAATCATTGCCTCCATGGAAGACATGTTTTAGAAAGGCAGGCGTGGATTGTCCTTCAGAAACCTGACTGCTTCTCACCCAAGAGGCTAGGAAATCATGCTTTAGTGTTGATGGAGGATGGCTTCCGGGACCCCAAGGGTATCTGAATCTGGATGCTCAGGTGCCCGATATAAAATGGCATAATATCTAGCTATAATCCACCTACATCCTCCTATATACTCTCACTCATCTCTAGATTACATCATACCTAATGCAAATGGTTGAATTCGTTAGGGGCTAATGAAGAGAAAAGCTACAAGAACAGATGCAATTGGGGTCAGGGTGTTGAGACAGGGTCTTACTATGTAGCTCTGGCTGTCCTGGAACTCACTATTGTAGACCAGGCTGGCCTCGAACTCAAAGAGATTGGCCTGCCTCTGCATTCCTAGTGCTGGGATCAAAGGCGTGCATCACCACACCCAGAAGTCTTGCAATTTTTTTCTGAAAAGTTTCTAATCTAGAGATTGAATGTGTAGATGTGGAATCTGTGAGAAAAATGTGTGCATGCAGGCATGTGCACGTGTGTGTGCATGCTTGTGTGTGTGTGAAAGTACGTACACGTGTGTGTGTGTGTGTGTGTGTGTGCGTGTGTGTGTAACTTTTTTTCATTAAAGCATGTCCATCCACTGAAATGACACTCCCCAGTCTGCACCCCTCCAGTGCTGGCTGGACCCCAGGCACTTGGTCGGTGTCTGGCTCCATGATCTCCGTGACTGGTCATCACTGGTGACTTCATCTCGGGCTGCCTTCCACAGATACACCCTGGGGTTCTTCCAGAACATTTGGGCTGGGGTCAGAGCAGGGATCGCCCAAGCATGACTAGTTTATGTTCCATTGATGAACTGTGTTTGGAATGGTCTGCTCAGTTACTACTTTTTATATAAAAGTATTACTCGCCGGGCGGTGGTGGCGCACGCCTTTAATCCCAGCACTCGGGAGGCAGAGCCAGGCGGATCTCTGTGAGTTCGAGGCCAGCCTGGACTACCAAGTGAGTCCCAGGAAAGGCGCAAAGCTACACAGAGAAACCCTGTCTCGAAAAACCAAAAAAAAAAAAAAAAAAAAAAAAAAAAAAAAAAAAAAAGTATTACTCAGTCTATTTTTGTAAATTAGCTAAACTGTTGGCCCTTACATCTAGATAAATGACAGAATTCTTACAACCCACCTCTTTCTCTGCTGAATCCTGGCTCTTCTTCTTTTACCATCCACCCAGGCATGCAGGAAGCATTTACTAAGGTTACTGTCCTGGCTTGGTAGAGGCTCGGCAGGCAACATAGATAGATGAGGAATAAACCCCACAGCTTGTTCCCAGTTCCCACATATCCGAGTCATTTTCATATTAATGCTCTGTTGAAAACTTGATAAACGTATTGGTAGACATGGAAATGAGAATTTATTTTGAGCAAATGTGCGTTAATGATTCTACTTAAAAAAAAAAGGCAACATCCATGCCATCACATAAAACTATCTTTCTAAAAGACTATATGGGTGCAAACAACCCTAAATTACTTTTTTCGGTAACTACTGATGGAAGTAATTAATTACATATGTTACAGCTGGCTCTCTGCTCCTGATCTTTCGCTCCTGATATCCACTTGGTTCAGCCACAGAAGGACTCCCCCACCTCATTAGCCGCTCCCTTCAGGGACTCATTTTGCCTCATCTAATTCCTGTGGCCTCTGGATGTTACTGTGGGGGTACCCCAATGCCCCCACAAGTAGAGGTAAACTAAGAAGGCAATGCCTCCACACCCCGAAATCCCACCTTCATTTGATAGCCAGTTCCCACAAAGAGGCCTCTGAGAGGCGGTGCTGGCTTTGATGTGAGCAGAAGCCGGCTCAGCTGGAAGCAGGCACTCTGGTGTGTGGTGGGCACTGAGCAGATGCCCCCAGCCACTCACCAGCCATGGGCTCTGCCCATCCCAGGCACAGCATGCAGTAGTGAAACTCATGGGCTTTCACAGTCCCTCCTGGATACATGAAGCCACCACCAGCCTAAAGGATTAGGGCTGACTCTGGGGGATTTCCATCTGGATCAAAGACTCTTCGGCTTCTTCTTCTACTTCTCTTGCTCTTATCCTGTGAACTGGCATGTCTTAGGATTCTTGGTCCTCTTGACCTGCTGTAAACACCCACTTCCTGGAGTGTGTGCAGTTTACTTTGGAACATAATCTATTCCCACTAATACTGTTCTTTAGACAGGTCCTCTATCACAGAGAATAGTGGGATTGACCACTTTCTTACTGAATTAAACATGGAGGATGCAAGGTGGGGGCAAAGTGTCCCTAAAATAAATGTCTCCACCTATAAGGATGTCCCCATGAGGAACGTGAAGGGGTTAAAATTTAATAACCACCTGCCATGCATCACCCAGTGATTTCAAAGGCTATTTCACAACTGCCATATACAGTGAAACATTTGAAGAAACCAGAAGTCGGGGAAAGTTCCTCCGGCGTGGGAAAACTGGGTTGGGGAGACAAAGAATTAGAAATAGATCAGAGAAGCTGCAGGGAACCCCAACAGACACAGATCAGCTGACCAGGCACCCATAGTAAAGGACTGAGGACAAACCAGGAGCCATCCAAGAGAACTGTTCTGATGGAAAGCACTGGAGGGGCATGCAGACCACCAGCGCGAAGAATGTGTCCGAAGCCAGCTGCTCTCTGTGTCCCAAGGTGATGTTGGGGAACTCCAACAGACGCGGCCCAGCCTAGAACCAAGACCTAGCTGAGACGTGAACCTGAGCTGAAGGACTTAATAAACTACATCAGGACAGTGGGTCATCAAAGTAAAGACACCTCTACTAGCCGAAATTCTCTGGGTTCTGGTGGTAAGGTCACGTGATCCAAGCAACGGTCCGAATATAGTACTTGCCACTGCAACAGAATCAGACCCAGAGAGAGAGAGAGACAGACAGACAGACTAGGGAAGAGGAGAAGCAGTCTGGGAAAAGATCTCGGGTGATCTTTCGGGGAAGAGGATGCTGATCTTAGAGCTTTCCCTGCTGGTCCATCCCTGTCCACTCGTGCACTACATCTGCCGAGAACCAAGAACAGGCACTTGCTTTGATTTGTGGGCCTTACAGTGGCCTATCCCAGGAAATGGTCTCTTGGGTTCCCTCCACAGCCTATGCTTCACTTTTCACCCCAGCATGTGTACGTACGGACATCCCCACACACCACAGCCAAGCCTGCTCAGAGGGTGCTACCAACTGGCCGTGCCTACTTGTCTCAGCGTCCGAGACAGGCGGCATTCCCGAGAGAGTTCCCTCTGTTGGCAAGTTCATTACTGACTGAGGACCTTCCACCTACCCGCTCTGGAGGCTGTAGCCCGCAACTCTGGACATGTTTTTGACCTATGCTGTGATGGTCTTCTTTGGTTACAAAGCCTCTCCCATGTCTGTGGAGGCCCAAATTACTCAGAGTCCGAGAATCTGACCTTGCTTTACCCAGCAGGGCTGCATAAGGGGATGATTGGACGACCACAGGCGTGGTTACCAGGTGTTTGGAAGGGTCTACACTTGGCTGTATCTAGCAAGGGGGAGGTCTTCTGCCTCACCCCTTGGCATTGTTATAAAAAGCCCTTTGGAATAAAGTCCTGGGCCCTTTGGGTATTGGCCCAGGCCCTCCCGAAGCCGTCCTGTGTCTCTGTCTCCTCTCCGCTATCTTTCTATCTACAAGTTTCTTATTCCTCTCTCGTCCTCATAGGAACCCTTTAAAAGTAGGAGCTGGCCTGCCACACATGTCCATGCTGAGCTTTGCCTCCAAAGCAGAGGAAAGTGAGTCCCACCCCAGCAGGAAATCTGCCTCTCTCTCTCTCTCTCTCCCTCCAGACCAGAGCCTCTAATGTGTGAAGGGAGCATCATGGAGGGAGCTGCTAGAGAGGAAGCTGCTTTAGAGGCAGGCAGAGTTGGCCAGCCCCCCACCCCACCCCACCCTCCACCCCACAGCTGCAGACAAGCAGCAAGCAGGTGTCCCTGGTGAAGCCTCCTTCTTGGCTTCAGCGGCTTCCTGAGGCTTTCAGTTTCTCAGGTACAGCCACACTTGTCACTGAGAAGGGGCCCGTGAAGGTCAAACTGCTGATGAAACCGTGTGTACGAGTGTGTGTGTGTGTATGTGAGTATATGTGTGAGTGTGAATGTGAGTGTGTGTGAGTATATGTGAGTGTGTGTGTGTGTGTGTGTGTGTGTGTGTGTGTGTACATACATAACTGGAGACAAACATTTCTTCCCTCAGCTTTGGGGCTCTGGGCCAGTTCTCTCATGACCTGATCTCTTCTCCCCTCCCATCCTGCTCTTGTTCTAAGGTCATGACCTCTGAAAACAAGTATACCCGTACTGGAGTCTACGCACCCTAAAAAGAGACCCAGGTGAACGTGAGATCAAACTCAAGCACATCTTTAAAATTCAGTTCCATCTCCCCGTCAGGTTCCCGCCATCCCTGGCCCCGCGTGCAGATCAGCTCCACACAAGAGAGCGGGCGTTCTCAGGAGACCCTCCCTAACTGGCCATCAGCCTCGGGAAATGACGGGAATTTCAGAGTCTGCTTTTCCTCCGCCAACTTGAGGCACAAGAGGAGTTTTAGGGAATTTTTCAGAAAATCTTATTCTTGTGACTTCAGCAATGCCAAATAAGTGCCCATGGTGTCACATGACCTCCAGTCAGTAAATGAAGCTAGGGAACTCAAGGAATTCACTAATCCGACCCAGTTTGTCCCCCAGAAACAAAGATGTTGCAGCCAGACCAACCCAGAGTTGCTGAGATTCTTAGGGGAACCGGCCTGCCTCCATGCCATACCTGCTCTCCACTGCACCCTCCCCTCCCCCACCTCCCTGTCCACTGCACCCCTCCTCTCCTCCCCTCCCCCACCTCCCTGTCCACTGCACCCCTCCTCTCCTCCCCTCCTCCACCTCTTTTGAGCAAGACTTCCACGTGGCAGCAGAAGCGACAGGCAAAAATCAAAGACTGAGGAGACAAGAATTCAAAATACTGGTCTCTTCTGTCTGCGCTGATCACCACCACTCCCACTGTGTGTGTCTCTGTCTCCCTGCCTCTCTGTTGCCCGCCCCCATCTCTCTGCATGTTTAATCATGAACCGGTGCATGTGAGTACGTGGAGGGCAGAAGTCAACCTTGGGTGTTGACCTCAGAAGCTCTGTATTTGTTAATGTGTTGTTTTTTTTTTTTTTTTAACTTACATGGTGTGTGTGTGTGTACTTATGCACATTCATGCCACGGAGCATGTGTGGTAAAAGAACAAACTTCCATTTTTCTCCTTCCATCACGGGAGTTCGGAGCTGTAACTTAGGTCCCCAAGCTTGGCAGAAAGAACCATAGCCTGCTGAGCCATCTTGCTGCACCTCCTCCTTGTTTTCTGAGACAGGGTTCTTTGTCCCTGAGACCTGCACTCACTACACAGGCTAGGCTGGTTGGCCAGAAAGCCCCAGAGATCCTCCTGCGTCCACTGCCCGGTGCTCGAACTGCAAGCGGGTACCACCACTCCAAGCATTTTACAGGGTCCCGGGGGCCAGCGAGGGGCCGCAGGCTTGCCCTCAAACATTTCACCGACAGAGCTGCCTACCCCACCCTCTGTCTTGATGTCTTTGACCCTATTATCCAGTCTTCGGCATTCATGTCCCTCTCTGGATGCTGGGATCTGAGGACATCCTAAGGATCCATAGACAGATGCTGCACATTTCCCACATGCCTGTCCCGAACCCTGATTTGGTCCTGGGCTGAAGACAGATTCCCAGGCAGAGCTACAAGGGGAGGCAGCTGTGTGTTCGTGAGACAAGTAAGCCCTGCAGATTGAACCCTTTGGGGAGCAGGGATGCACCCACCTTTTCAGCTATCAGGAAGTCAGAGCGGAGGGCCTCTCGGGTGCAGATGGCACCAAGCAGGAAGGTGAAGACGATGTACAGGAACCACCTGCAAAACCCAAGAGAGAGAGAGCGAGAAAGCTGCCGTCCAGCCCAGCCCACCCCGCCAAGCCTGGTCGGTTTTCTGTGGGAGCCTGTGTCATGAAAGAAGGCCAGCCGTGAAACCCCAGAGCTATCCTGGGAAGCTGCATTTCATACTCTTTCTCCTCCGGAACCAGGGTAGTCGTGTTTTCATTCTTACATTAAAGAAGGATGTTGAGGTGGGGAAACAGGAAGCCCAGCCGCCATGATTTGGCCGGGGTTGACCTGCTGTCCCCCAGCCCATCCATCTTCCTCCAGTAGAAGAACTACCCTGTCATCTCTCGGGCCTCTGGTCTCTAGTCCACAGATAACAAGTACTTAGTATTTTGTCAACTTGGCACAAGCTAGTGTCATCTGGGAAGAGGGAACCTCAACTGAGAAAATGTCTCTGTAAGGTTGGCCTGTGACCTGTAGGTGAGTGTGGGGGCATTTTCTTGATTAATGATGGGTGGTGGAGGGTCCAGCCCACTGAAGGTGCTGCCATCCCTGGGTGGGTTGGGAAGCAAGCCAGTAAGCATCACTCCTCCATCCATCCTCTGCTTTAGTTCCTACCTCCAACCTGACTTCCCTCCAGGGTGGACCATAAACTGGAAGCGGAAATAAACCCTTTCCTCCCCAAGGTCACAGTGTTTTATCACAGCAACAGAAATCAAACTAATACACAGGGGAGAATTCAAAGGCAGAGCCATATCCTGGCTCTGTCACCAAGCTGCTCTGTGTGGGAGAATAAGTCACATGATCCCGAGGTCCGCCCATTCCCATCTGGGCAATGATGGGCTACACCAAGACTCCTCTGACTTCCGACTCCCTCTAAAGCAGGGCCGGCTGCTCATGTGGAACCTTCTTTCTCTTCCTCCCTCCCACTCAGTTCTTCCTGTCCTCTTCCTTTTCTTCCAATGTTGTTGCCTCATTTCACACACATGGCTGGGAGCCCCGTGCCTGGCTGACAGCAATGGAGTCACTGTGGTAAGCGTTTGCGGGTGGATTTTTTTTTTTTTTTTTTTTTTTTTTGGTTTTTCGAGACAGGGTTTCTCTGTGTAGCTTTGCGCCTTTTTCCTGGAACTCACTTGGTAGCCCAGGCTGGCCTCGAACTCACAGAGATCCACCTGGCTCTGCCTCCCGAGTGCTGGGATTAAAGGCGTGCGCCACCACCGCCCGGCTGCGAGTGGATATTTTAATGTTTGAAAGTACTGTGGTGTGCAGGCCCCGTTAGCTGCTCACATCAGTGTTCTGCCTGCGACCTTACTGTCTTCCCACCTATCCAATGAAGGCAGAGATGCACCCTTCTGCCCGTACATGGGAAACAGCAGGAGACTCTCGAGGATCAAAATCAGACCCAAGGCCATGTCACAGTCAGAGCGGCGCAGTGGGAACTAAAACTCCAGAAACTAACAACCCTGGAGGACCAGGAGGGGAAGAAAGAGACCCATCTCTGGGCTTCCCCGACTCACCCTAGCACGCAGCCTCTCCCTCCATCCGTAAGGTGCACACATGTAGACATACCCACACATACTCAAACACCGACCTACATACACTCACACAGTCACACACACACACACACACACACACACACACACACACTCACACACACACACACACACACACACACACACACACACACACACTCTTATAGAGGCTCAGAAAGCCGACGAATGGGATGCAGACGTTAGTCTGTGTCTGCAACATGCTTCATCTCCATGTGCCCACCACGACCCTGGGAACTCAGTGGTTTAAAAAAACAAAAACCCCCAAATTCAAAATGAGGGTTGAGGAGAGGCACGGTGGTTGAGGGGGTGGGGGAAGGAAAGGATCTGCTTTGCATTCATGACCTTCCTCCTCCCAAAGCGTTCTGAGGCAGGAGGTGTGAAAGGGCAGTGTCTGAACCCACCAGACGTGAATTTTCCAGCCCACCGAGTGTGAAAAGGAGGATTGGAATATGAAATAGGTTGGTCCCAGCCAGGGCACTCTGAGAACAAAAGGGGCAGTCCCGCTTCTGCCTGGGGTTTTCTCTCCCATTCTCCAGCCCAGACTGCTTGCTAAGAGGGGAACTTACGAGATGCCAACCGCTGCCAGGGAGCCTAGAGGTATGCTGGCAGCAGGCTCCCTCAGGTCTCCTCCCATGTTGAAGCCAGCCATGACTCCTGAAAGACACCCAGACAAGGAATGGATGGAGCGAGGCAGGGTACCCGTGAATCAAACAGCTCCCCCCGGGGTGGTCCCTTCCTCTCCTCTGGGCCCTTTCCTGGAAGCTGCTATCTGCAGCGGAGGTGCAAGCAGGCCGCTTCCCTGTCTCCCCTGGCAACTGGGGAGGCATCTGCAGGGCAGTGAAAGGGACCTTTGTGGATGGTGTTAGGCTCAGGAGACAATCCCTCCTAGCTATGAAAGCACCTTATCACTCCGGGGAAAATACCAAGGGCGAGGGAGGTGTGCTCAAAGCCACACAAAGGTCCTGACGAGCTCAGACAATGCCCAAAGCGGCTCAGTAGGAGCAAAAGGGCCTGTAGATTTCTTCTGCTGCCAACTATGTCGCTGCGGGTTCAAGTACCCCCAGGGTCAGGTATCATCCAGCAACCAGGACCAAGTGCCATGTTCAGAGCTCCTGACCTACCAAAGGGCTCCAAATGACAAAATCTGAGGGATCGCTGTGTCTCTCTCCTTTATCTTATTACCTCCAGTCCCCCAAAACACCTATGAAGCACTTGATAGGCAGAGGCAGGTGGATCTCTGCGAGTTCCAGGACAGCCTAGTCTATATGGCAAGTTCCAGGACAGCCAGAGCTACATAGTGCAAACCTGTCTCAAAAAACTAATCCCCTCCCCCCCACACAAAAATTAATGAAAATCCATGCACCCATCATGGTGAGGGGCCAGCAGCACAGCTGGGGAGAAGCTGTTTCCTCTCTCTAGACACACTCAACAGAACAAAGTCTTCTGAAGTGGAACGAGGGTCCAGCCCATGAGTGCTCGCTCTATCAACTCAATGAGCAGGGAAACGTGGCCATGAAACTCTGATACAGCAGGTGGAGATGGTAGCATGTGGGGCGTGGCCCTGAAAGAGACTTCCGTGGACTCGGGGATGACACGGGTCTGATACCATCGTTGTGGACTGACCCTCAGCCTCCACGCGGTTTTCCTTTTTGTTTAACCCCCACCACAGCCACACCAGAGAAAGGGACTCATTCCCTTGTCTTATGGAAAAGCTCTGGAGAAGTTGACAGAAACAGCCTGAAGTCTCACATTTGGTAACTGGCCAAGCTAGGCTTCAGCCCTGGTCTGTCTGACCCTGACAGTCACACTTCTCATGCCTCTGCCGCGACGCCTCAGAGAACCCTGGAGAAGCAGAGTCAGAGAAAGCTACGGTGGCCTGTTTCCAAAGAACCCCGAATGTTGGACCGAGACTTGCTTGGGTCTGCACACATTTTGTCCCAGGTTTCCACCACTAAGAGTTTAGCCAAAGGAACCGTGCTGGGTAGTCTGTACTGTCAACTTGGAACAACCTAAAGTCACCCGGGAAGAAGGAACCTCAACTGAAGAATTGTCTCAATCAGACTGGCCTGTGGCCATGTCGGTGAGGAGTTCTCCTGATTGATGACTGATGTGGGAAGGCCCAGCCCACTGTGGGGAAGCACCATCCCTATGCAGGTGGGCCTGGGCTATGTACTAAAGCTAGCAAGGGAGGCGGTGAGCAGCATTCCTCCAGGGCCTCTGATTTAGTCTCTCCCTCTAGGTTCCTTCCTTGAGTTCCCTCAGTGACAGACTGTTACTAGGAAGATAACCCAAAGGTACTGGTTAGTTTTCTGTGAACTTGATACAAGCTAGAATCTTGTGAGAGGAGGAGCCTCAAATACAAATGCCTCCATAAGATCAGGCTGTGAAAAGCCTGTAGGGCATTTTCTTAATTAGTGATCGATGTGGGAGGACCCAGCCCATGATGGGTGGGCCATCCCTAGGCTACTGGTTCTGGGTTCTGTAAGAGAGCAGGCTGAGCAAGCCACCAGGAGCAAGCCAGTAAGCAGCACCCCTCCATGGCCTCTGCATCAGCTCCTGCCTCCAGGTTCCTGCCCTGTTTGAGTTCCTGTCCTGACTTCCTTTGATGATAAGCTGATATGGAAGTGTAAGTCAAATAAACCCTTTCCTCTCCGACTTGCTTTTTGGTCATAGAGTTTTGTCACAGCAATAGAACCCTGACTAAGACACCAAATAAACCCTTCTCTCTTCCGAATTTCTTTTGGTCAGAATGTTTTATCACAGCCACAGAAAAGCAAACCAGAACAAGTATGGATAAAGGTGTAGCCAGCAGATTTATAAATACTTGTTTAAGCAGTGAAAATTACAAACTATCTCATGTCTAAAACTGGAGGATTGGCTAAGTGATTGATGATGATATGCCTTTCAATGAATGCCAGGACTCAGACACAGTGTGGGACAGGCCGTGACATAGAACAGCGGGTAAAGCTATTGTTTAAAGAGCTTCAGCAGAAACAGAACATATGGCATGTTCCCCTTGTTTTTTTGTTTTTTGTTTTTTGTTTTTTTTTTGGTTTTTTTTTGAGACAGGGTTTCTCTGTGTAGCTTTGCGCCTTTCCTGGAACTCGCTTTGGAGACCAGGCTGGCCTCGAACTCACAGAGATCCGCCTGGCTCTGCCTCCCGAGTGCTGGGATTAAAGGCGTGAGCCATCACCGCCTGGCATGTTCCCCTTGTTATCAGAGAGAGAGAGAGAGAGAGAGAGAGAGAGAGAGAGAGAGAGAGCGCGCGCGCGAGAGCAGGGTGGGGAAGAGGCTCAGTCCATGAAATATTTGCCACATGAAGAATAGGACCTGAGTCCCAGCACCCACATAAACAGGGAATGGTAGCACACACCTGTGATCCCAGCCCTGGGGAGGTCAAGACAGTGCCCCTGGGGCTTGTGACCAGCCAGTCTAGCTGAATCAGCAAGCTCCAGGTTCAGTGAGGAAACCTTGTCTCAGAAAACTGAATGGAGAATGACCAAGGAAGACACACAATGTAGACCGCTGTCCTACACACACACACACACACACACACACACACACACACACACACACACACACGAGGACCTAGAACATGTTGAAAAATCATCATCCTATTTCTGCATGATGGAAGAACATCTTTTTTGTTCTATTTGTTTCTATTTCCCCAGGGTTTTACAGTGGCCGTTTTTTATCTTTTGTTGGTTTGTTTCAGCCAGGGTCTCCTGCCCAGGCTGACCTTGAACTTTACGGAGCAGAGGATAACCTTGAACTACTGATCTTCTAAATCTACCTTCCAAGTGCCGGGATGACAGGCTTGTGACACTACCCCAATGTATACAGTACTGACGCGCCAACCTGGGGCCCGTGCAGACGAGGCCCACCCTGTCAGCTGAGCTACATCTAAGCTCAAGACAGGTTTCCAATATGGGGAAAATAAGGTTGGAAATGACCTAGCGGGTCATTTATATTTTCTTTCTATTCATTTCCCTTCTCCTTAAAGGAACTATTAAGAGGATGTTGGTGGGGTTAATAAGTGCCTATGTGCAAAGAGAATGCATCTATTCTAAGAAGACAAGAAGTCTCCTGTTTGGGACACAGAGATAATAAAATAACAACAGCCTGAAAGGGATGGAAAGGCGGCTTTGGAAGGCTCCTAGGGAGTCTCAGCATATGGCCTGAGGACAGCCAGGCTGCCAGTGTGGCTGTTGCGCCTCAAGGGAAGCCTGCCCATGAATCAGCGGGCACACAAACGTGTTGTCCTTACCCTCCCATCCAGCAGGCAAACAGTACTGAACCACCGACAACACAAGAGCCCACACAACAACCAGGGCTTACCAGATGTGGGTGGAGAGCCACAACCAACAAACAAAACCCTGAATACACACGGAGCAACGGAAGAAACACATAAATCACGGCTGAGAGGATTTTGGAGAAAAACGCTAATTAGCAGCTCTGGATACATCCAAGAGGAATATTCTTCCAGCAAAATAAAATGCTGAGGATAAAGATTCCAACGAGAAAGAATAATTAGATGTTAAAAATGTGATCATTACAGTTAAAAAATGCCCTAGATCTGGGCTGGTGAGATGGTTCTGTGGGTTAAGGCATTTGCCGCCAAGGTTGACTACCTGCGTTTGATCCATGAGACCTACACAGAGGAATGAATATACAATTAATTAGTTAGCTAATTAATTAATTAAATGTAGTAAATTTTAAATGCCATAGATCTGAAAAATAAAATTAAGTGTACGCCCAAGCATGTATACACTGGGGTAGTGTCACAAGCCTGTCATCACGGCACTTGGAAGGTAGATTCAGGAAGATCAATAGTTCAAGGTTATCCTCTGTTCCGTAGAGTTCAAGGTCAACCACCTGGGCAGGGGACCCTGGCTGAAACAAACCAACAAAAGATAAAATAAATAGAAACAGAAAGGGGTAGGAATGTTCACTAAATCAGAGAGAAACCTTGAGAGTATAGTAGCTAGAGAACAGAGAGATAACAGAAACCGAGAACAGAGAAAATAAAAGAAAATTCCAGGTGAAGAGATGGAAGTTTCCCCAAACTGAAGAAGACCCATGTCTCCATTCCCACAAATTCCCAGCACTTACATACATCATTGTGCTATTTCCAGAGAAATCCAAGTGCTGCTGAGGATTAAAAAACCTGGACATTGACATGAGAACTAAAAGCTGACCAGCACCAGGCTTCCCATCAACACTGAACCCTAAAAACACTCATTTTGAAATCAGTAGGGAAGACTGTCTTTAAACTAGAGTTTTGGCCAGCTTATCAATTAAGGGGAAGTCAAGTTACCCCAACAAGAGCTCAGACACCTTAACTTTCCATATCGTGTCTGAGAAAGCTGCTAAAGTATGTACTCCAGCAAAATGAAAATGTCAGTCACAGAGGGGGGAAAAAAAAAACAGTGGTGATAACCCTGGATCGACATGAAGCCCCAGGACAACAGGTTGACAACAGACAGAGAGAGGGGCAGAGATGGAAGCAGAAGGACAGACAGAGGTCCTGGGCAGGAAATGAATGAAGCAACAGGAACAGTACACAGACACACACAATGACTTGTGGACTCCTTGTTCCGAAACAAGAAAAGAAAAATGTTATCGAAAATTTAGGGAAAGTTAAAAACAACCAC